TCTGTCGATGTCTATTAATCATGGTGATCTCAAAGGCTAGCATTTTATCTGTAGAGGCTGTTTTGTCGATTTTTGCGTATATGCGAATGCTCAGAGTTGCGTGAAACTTTAACGTTTTACACTCTATCACAACGACACTGCATTTCAGACTGTACACAACAGAAGGCAAACAGTTTTTAGTGCTGTGACAGCGGTATGAGCTTTTCTTTACGTTCGTTGCTGAGTGAGTCCCATTCCCTAAGTGCTTTTGGTCAGTCTTCCAGTCTGACGGCAAGTTTTTCAGCGCGGCGCTAAAAATCAATCCAACGTCGCTGGAGCCTCGAAGGCAGTCGGTAACTTTCGAGGATTAGAGCAAGAGAAATCGATCATCACTTGTAAGAGAGTGTGGAGGAGAGTGTGGAGCAGCAGCTGCTTGTCATTGCTGTTTGTTTCATTCAACGCCGTGAGGGAAATCAGTGTTCGGCGGTGCTGGCGTGCCTCGCCGTTATTATCATGTAGGCCATTTTAGTAGTGAGAAAAGATCCAGAGGGTTTTATGTTAATAACACTCGTTTATCCAGTATAACTTACTCTGTTGATCGCTTCTGATGAGAGGAAGAAAACTAAACCAAAAAGAATTCATAAAGATAACGAAAGAGACGGTTGGAAGCCTTTTACAAGCCAATCTTTCTCTATCATTATCACTGAGAAACTGTTTATGTGCTTCTCGAACCGAAGAAATTTTATAATTTGTTTAATTCAGATCGCACTATTTATTATCCCCTTCTTTCACGGAGTTTATGCTCCTACACAGGCATTTTTTCCGATGACGTCAGTCGTGAAAGTTGAACACATGTCGACAGTATTTGAAGTTCGGTGGGTTGCTGATGTGACGAGGCTCGACCAGGTTTTGAGCATTTTGATCTAAGATGCTACTTCCCGAATCCATAGGTCAAAACTGTGATCATGGTTTGTGCAAGTCATCAAACTGCCAAGGGAAGACTTACTAGACTTCACTAAGCAATTTGAAATTAGACCTATCCGATGGGTAGACGCAGACCTGGTAGCGATGTTCAGGTGGCTAGGAAATTAGGGCATGCTGAGCACTTTGTCTTTCTGCGCTGTCATGAAACCACACCCATGACTGCTGTCCCCGCGATCGGTCACGAGTAGTGGACTGGGTAGATGATGGATGGAAAAAATGCGGATAAAAATACTACAATCGCAAGTTATTTTTGAATTTTTAATCTCTCGGGGACTTTTGTCTTTAAGGCAACTCTGACTCAGAGAATGATACTGTAGCCAGCTAATTGGATAGAGATATTTATTGCGGACCTTCATTTGCTCAATTATCAGAAAACTGTGATCACTGATAACTGCTGTTTCCCTGCATGACTTGAATCTTCACCCTTCATATACATCAGGCTGATGGATGATGAGTGATTGCATTGTTCTACTCTGGTGGCCAGTTCAACATTCGCCGACCGAACTCTGTGGCGTCGTTGCAATCAGACTTCGGCTACGATATCCACTTTAGTTTCTAGCTTTCTTCTGTCAAATAACTTAAATCATTTTAGAAGATCTCATTAATCTACTTTCTTGAAATTATTGAATGTCTTTCGGATACGTCTATAACCACAGTATCACACTATTCGTAGGTGCTCCATCCAGTCGAAAATTTTGTTCACATTTTTAGCCAGCTGAAAAGTGTCGATTTCATGCACTCATAATTACATATCATCTTCATCAGCCTTTCCCATTCACTGCAGGATGAACTCCTCTCTGGCGCTTTGTCACACGCTTCTCTTTTTTGCCACTTTTATCCATCTTGATCTCGCGCACTTCAATTCTTCTTGCGATCGATTTGGGCTTCATATGAGCTGTTTGCTCTCTCTTGGAAACCGATGTAATATTTCTACCCATTACTTCTCTCATGCAGTGACATCATTACAGACTCTTGTTTGTGCTCTTCTCCATTCATTCAACTTCCCATTGTTTCTTAGTATTCCCAATATATATCTTTCCGTACTGCGTTTCGTAGTCTGCTGTTTTTAAATAGCTTTCAGTCTCACGGTCCATGGTTAGCATTCATCTGTTAACAGTGAGAGGATATACTGATCGAATACTTTCAGCTTCAAGCACAAGACCAGTTTTGCGGTTAGGAACATTTTGAATCTTTCAAAAATGCTCCATGCCATATTTATTCTTCTGTTGAGTTTACATAGTTGGTTCTTAGTTGCACAGATGAACTGTCGCCGATTAACGTAGTTCTGCACTAATTCAAGTCTATATCTTAATGGTGCGGCGTTTATGAACGTTTATATGCCATCAAGAAGGACGCCTTACTTTGACGGCAAAGTTTTCAGTAGCTATGTGAAAAGCATATTCTTGGTTTCTTGTTTCTTTCCTAGAGAGTGTTACTCATTTAACTTTCGTACTCGTAGAAAAAAGAACTGCGAATGGCCCAACAGGAGCTCGAACCCGGAGCCTCTCGGTTATGAATGTGATGTTCTACCGACCGAGTAACCCCGATCAGGTTTGTGACGAACATCTAGCGGCGTCTTCTAATCCTAGGGTTAGTTTGAACAGCCGATTTATAACCTATTCGCTTCCATTGTCACAGTGACAGTATGCTTCATCTTCATTTTCCATGACCGCTTCTCTTTTCGGTCGCGGAGGCAAACAAGTCATACAGTACTTCCAACGTTCCCGATTCTGTGCCAGAGG